TAGAAGATTCGATGATTCACAATTCTGCAATTCACACTACGTATCGCAGTTGGCTGCGTTCGTCATCGATACACGAGCCGAGAGATCCACCGTTAGAAGTTGTACTGTACACATATATAGTATTCGCTAACATTGAATGATTACACATTTAAACTAACAGAAGTAAGAACAAGGAAAAGTTAACAAAACGAAAAGTGACGTCAAACAAGCAACAGATAAGGCGGATAAAGGGAGTGTTAATTTGGCCTTGATCACATTAACTTACCACAGGACCAAATCAGTCAAGAAACTCTCCTACGAGTAAGACCTTATTCTGAAGCGTTGTTGTGTGACAACCACTAAACAACCCTAGCAACTCGTACACCACCCACCACAACACGCACACAGTGTGTGTGTGTGTGCAACAGCTGGGGGCGCATAGAGGTGAAAGGGTCATTCATATATACAAGTCCACAGAGAAGAGGTTGAGTAACTCAATCCCTCAATCGAGCAACACATACACACATACAATGATGATCCTTCCGCAGGTTCACCTACGGAAACCTGGTTACGACTTTTACTTCCTCACAATGATCAAGTTTGATCAACTTTTCAGCCTCCGCACAGCCGTGAGGCCGAGCAGTGCCGATCCGAAGACCTCACTAAACCATTCAATCGGTAGTAGCGACGGGCGGTGTGTACAAAGGGCAGGGACGTAATCAGCGCAAGGTGATGACTTGCGCTTACTAGGAATTCCTCGTTCAAGATCAAAAATTGCAAGGATCTATCCCCAGCACGATCAAGTTTCACAAGATTACCCGGCGCCTTTCGGCGAAGGAGAATAACTCGTTGACTTGATCAGTGTAGCGCGCGTGCGGCCCAGAACATCTAAGGGCATCACAGACCTGTTATTGCCTCAAACTTCCTTTGATTAGGCAAGCCAACTGTCCCTCTAAGAAGTCAATACACGTCCATCCGATCGACCCGTCCCAACCTCCGCGAAGGGGCAGAACAAAGCCGACCATGTGGATAACGCGACTAGTTAGCAGGCTAAGGTCTCGTTCGTTAACGGAATTAACCAGACAAATCACTCCACCAACTAAGAACGGCCATGCACCACCACCCATAGAATCAAGAAAGAGCTCTCAATCTGTCAATCCTCACTATGTCCGGACCTGGTGAGTTTTCCCGTGTTGAGTCAAATTAAGCCGCAGGCTCCACTCCTGGTGGTGCCCTTCCGTCAATTCCTTTAAGTTTCAGCCTTGTGACCATACTCCCCCCAGAACCCAAAAACTCTTGATTTCTCGTAAGGTGCCAACGACGTCCCATAGAACGAACGTACGCTGATCCCTAGTCGGCATTGTTTATGGTTAGGACTACGACGGTATCTGATCGTCTTCGAACCCCTAACTTTCGTTCTTGATTAATGAAAACATCCTTGGCAAATGCTTTCGCAGTTGTTCGTCTTTCAAAAATCCAAGAATTTCACCTCTGACAATTAAATACGAATGCCCCCAACTGTCCCTATTAATCATTACTCTCTGCCTTCAAACCAACAAAATAGACACAGAGTCCTATTCCATTATTCCATGCTAATGTATTCAAGCGAAGATAAGGCCTGCTTTGAACACTCTAATTTTTTCAAAGTAAACACCTCGCATCCAAAGCCCACCCGGTAAAGGACAGACTCCGTCTCCGAGGAAGAAGAACGATCACTTGTCACGCCATACACGCGACAAGGGCAGCAAACTGAAGGCAACTACTGCCCCCCCCCCTTCTCAGGGCAACCACCCCGCAATACCACCAAGGCCAGTACACACCACGCTGGGCGGACCAACCCGACCGCTCCGAAATCCAACTACGAGCTTTTTAACTGCAACAACTTTAGTATACGCTATTGGAGCTGGAATTACCGCGGCTGCTGGCACCAGACTTGCCCTCCAATTGCTCCTCGTTAAGGTGTTTAGATTGTTCTCATTCCAATTGCAGAACCAAATAAGGAACCGCATTGTTATGTATTTTACTACCTTCCCAGGTCGGGATTGGGTTATTTGCGGGCTTGCTGCCATCCATAGATGTGGTAGCCATTTCTCAGGCTCCCTCTCCGGAACCGAACCCTAATTCTCCGTCACCCGTTACAACCATGGTAGGCCAATACCCTACCATCGAGTTGATAGGGCAGAAACTTGAATGAAGCATCGCCAGCACAAGGCCATGCGATCCGAAAAGTTAGCATGAATCACCAACATACCGCCACCCACGCACCGAAGCACGCAAGCCACGCATTGGTTTTGGATCTAATAAATACATCCTATTCCAGGCACCCGAGAGCACCAGTCAGGATTCGAAGCACGTATTAGCTCTATGTTACCACGGTTATCCATGTAGTAAGACACCATCAAAGAAACTAGAACTGATTTAATGAGCCATTCGCAGTTTCATCTTGAACCAGATTTATACTTAGACATGCAGAGGTTATTCTTTCTGACAAGCATATGACTACTGGCAGGATCAACCAGGTAACACTAGTTAGCACTTTCTACATTGTAACACAACACACTCGCTACGAGTGGAATACGTACTAACAAGACAACTGTATCCCCCAACACATTGAAGATTACAGCATAATCTCTTCATGACCAATTCTATTACAGCTTTAAACAAGCCAGAATAATATAATGATCAATCTCCATCCATCCATCCATACTCATACACTCAGGTTTTCCTTTCCAAACAGCCTCCTAATACACAACCTTTTCAATCTCCAATTATATATTTAAAAAGTACTTGGAAACGAAACATTAACTTGCACTGATACAATATATATAAACAAGAGGTCAAATACATGAGAAACCTGCCTCACTAAGAATATCTAGAAATTACTCCTCCTTAACACAACACAATTCGATCAAGAAATCAAGGCTACCCACTTGTGCTGAATCAAGAATAAACATTCTCAATAATCACAATTGGTGTGTGGACATAAATTACCAAGATTATTTGACCAACTCGTCACACACAACTATGTCAAATCCATTCCTATTTCTATCTACCATCTTGGATACTGAGAGCAGACATAAGTAAATATCTCATATCCATTTAGCAACCTGTCCTCTCTCTCTCTCTCTCTCTCCTATCTATCTATCTATCTATCTAATCTTCCCTTTACTTTTCTCTTTTTCTATTTCCAACTTTTCGCTCCATTTCCTTGTTTCTGGCAACGGCCCAGGGAATTTATTTATACTCTCCACATAATTTTTAGTTTTCTAAGTGCTTCATTAAGTGTTTCTTATACATTTGCTGAATACCTTTAGAGCGTCTCATTTTTGTTCAGATATTTTGTTATATTTTGTTAATTTAATTTCTGGTATCCTTAATTCCTTCTTCATTATCAATATCTATTTTCCGTGTGCATAAGATTATATCACACTACTAAATTTTTATCTTTCATTTATATTTATATTGCATAAATTTAACTTTAGATTGTGGCTACAATTGAATAGCTCCTGATTCAATGACTATTATATTGATCATATTGGGTTTCAACTTTCAATAGTTCTATAACTTCTTTTATATATTCTGTTTAAGTGGAATTGTGTTTCTATTGCAATCCCAAACATTATTTTATGTAGTCTTAACTTCTATACTCGTTTCTATAAAAACTGTAATCACTTATTCTACAACTCCAAATTCCCCAAGATATACGTCACAAATATTTTGCTACCATTTCGTAGCAACCTACAGTATGGTGCAAGTCAAGAATACAGTACCCTCGCTTTTCCGAAAAGGGCTCAGAGCTTGTACAGTATTCGGAAAATTGTTTCAAACTTAAAAACATGGCAAATTTATATACAATTCTACTGCACATAAGAGTACGAGTACTAATTGGGTGGGGGGGCTGAGATGTATTTACCCGAATTTTCCTACAAACTATAGTGGTCTAAATGTAAACATCATGTATTTCCTTCGATTGTAAGATTCAAGGATCTAGTATTTACCTAGAAAAATTCTCAGAGCAGCAATAGAACTCTGAAAATATTTCCCATTTGAACCAGGGACAGCGATGTGTAGCAATGAATTTATAGATGGAATCCTATTATTTCCTATAGCATCAAAATGGCACACTTTTACCCGGGAAAATGTATTAGTGATATTTTTAATTACACACATAATCAATATCTGCGAAGATTTTCAGTTCGAAATGACGTCACCAGATTGCTTACTAGACGGGGCACTGTCCCGGTGCCAAATTCGATAGGTGTCAATATGTTCGTAGTACATTGTGAGAATATAGTTATCACAATGTGTTAGAAAATAAAGCATTTGCTCGTAATAATTATGGTGAGAGCATACATGTCAACTTCTGCAAGGAAAACAACGGGAAATAAGTAGTATTTTAACGGGACATAACATATTAGTATTAGTCCTATCCACTGAAAAGCGGGACAATTCTCTTTTTGAATGTTTTCGCGGGACAAACAGTATCCTTTTAACAATAAACGTCATGTATTACGAGGTGAAGCCCGTGGGGATAGCACAATTGATGGGGGTTCGAATTAAGCGACCTAAGTTTTTGCATCATTGAGCAGCCATTAGTTGTAACAGCAAAAATATCGGGCTCAAAATCTATTTCAAATTCATAATTTTTTTACATACTTTGCATTGTGAAATTTGGCATAAAGATTTAAGAAAATGTTTCCAGACTTCAGCACCAACAAAATCTTGAAAAACAGGTTATGTACTGTTTCGTAACCAAAATGACTTCTATTTATATGGTCAATTTGTTACGAAACCGTTTTTTCTACCATAAAAATATGAGAGAATGCGAGAATCGTAACATTTGATTATTGGAGAAACCTATTTAAGCTTACTGATAGTACTTGTAATCATCTTATCCTCTTGTTGTGATTTAACACTCACTAATATAAGTTACCATTGCAAATAGGTTATCGTTTCCAAGTATTGTGAATGTATGATTGATAATTGTAAGGAAATTGTTCTATGGTTCAAACATAGGTTATAGACCTAACAAGAAAATTTCGGGATCCTAAGATTGCAACACAGAATTGGGATTTGGGAAATAATCCCCCGAGATTCAATCCCTGAGGAAAAATACACCAGGATCCCGGGATTGTAACCCCTAATTGAAACATTGAGTTGGAAAAATCGCACATAGAATATAAATCTTACTACAACTTATTGTTACCACTAAAATATAATTTGAAACAGGAATTAGCTAAACAACAGGATAAGCTTTTCTGATTGATTTAGCAATGTTGTTAAATATGTTCTCTTTGTTCATTCTCCTCGAACTTGATACAATAAGATGTGTTTCCAATAGATCAGGATTCGTTGTTTGCCCCTTTCTCAATCTCTTCTTCACGCTTCCTCAAGAACTTTCTATCCCTTGAGTATGTACTCTTGTGAGAGGATCCACAAATTCTGAGAGTGATTTACGGTGTGATGAACATAGTAGTGTGTTGTAGAAGGGTATATGAAGCCCACTCATTAGAGTGTATCGTGGTTCCAGGTAGCTTATATTGTTGGATGATTGGAAGCAGAGTTGCAGTAGTACGGTCAGGCATAGTACCCGTTTGAAACATGCCAAATACTCATTTACCAGTTAGAAGCCTCCACATCCGTACTTTATAACAATGATCGGTAGCTGGTAGGAGGTCATATAGGGCTTTTAACCGAACACTGCCATGATAATGTATTATTTTATGCCGTCAAAAAGGTTCCGAAATCTCGATTTTGGCGGGGAAATTGTTTAAAACAAAGTGGTAAAATTATCGTGTTCCTTTTCGTCACACATCGTCCATGCAATTAGGACTTCCCCTTATAGCCTATATAGGAGCGGCACTAAAAAGACGTAATTCTATCCAATTCAACTGTGAATCATAAAATTATTGGATATTTCTCCAGTTTGCAGTATTTAGTTGTTTATATACAACATTCCGCAGGGGCGTAGACTCGGAATGTGGATTGGTAGGGCCCCTTGGCCTTGGTACCATGATAAAAGATTTTTATGGGGAAGTATAATTCTCTATGTAGTGATTTTCCCCCTTCATATATAATAATACCTTGAGAGGCGCTGGGTAACATGCGGGGCAGGACTGACGCTAATCTATTAAAGATCTCGCTCACATAGTGAATTAGACACTTAAAACATAGGAACAACAATTAGGGGGGAACTATAACACAGTTGTAATATTGCCGGGGGAAATTCATTGAGTGATAATACTATTTGAGATTCCTATTAAGGAATATATTGTTAAGAATAATTAGACAAACCAAATGGTTTTTATGAATAATTTTGTAATTTTTTTCTGAATAATTTCGATGAACTAGGACTGAATTGAAGGAATCTCTCTACTTTACTGAATGGAGAATTAGTATTAATAAGTTTCTTTTCAACCTTTAATGGATAATTATCATTCCAAAGCGGAGAAAGGAAGCACAAAGGTATACGAGCTCTGGTTCTATCAATAGCTTTATGCCATGTGTTCAATCTGGTTTTCCGGAGCTCCTTAATGCTGTGTAATGTGCAGTAATAGTAGAAAGGATTAGCCTCTTCCTTTTCCATATCTTGAGTGAGAGGTTGCATGTCTTGAGCTAGGTAGAGAAGTCCAGCTTGTTGTGCGCATGTAGCATGACAGTAGTTCTTGCAAAGGCCTGCATGACACTTACAACAGACTCCTATCCATTTGTTAATTGAATCTAAACAAAGAATACAAACTCTCTGCCCCCATAAGCTTCCCTTCAACCTATCTAAATCATAGTAAGTCTGTTCGTTTCCAGGGTAGATAGCTTGGGTGTATCTGGAACAAACTAAATGAGCCCACATTCCATTGGTAGTACGCTTTATTGGGATTACGTCATTTTTTGGACAAAGTTCACATTGAGGAGATTTAACACCAGCAGAGCATGGCTCACAAAACCAGCTTTTGGTATTACCATGATGAACATCTGAATACTCCAGATAGCAATGCATATGCACTGTTATTCCACATAATCCACACGTCAACTGAGTCAATACATTAAGATCTTCTTCAATTAAACAAACCATACAAATAAATGAATTAAACTTTGAATGTCGGGGAGAATTTAAGTTAGTTTCTTTCCTTTCTATCTGGTGTGAATGTTTCTGACTTAATATATTAGAATTATACTCATCCTGCTTGTGAGATTTATCGGATACTTTGATACTATTGCTATAGGATTTATTAATCAATTTGCTTTTGTATCTTTTCTTAGAGGGAGTCCATTCATAATCTATATCTTGTTCATCTAGAAAATTCCTAGGTAGTGTAAAACCGTATAAAGTGCTTCTATTCAATCTCAGGCCGATTTGATCATGTGTTTGTGGTTGTACCATAAGTTAATGTGTATCAATTGTATTATTAAGATGCTATCTTGAAATAGAGAACAGAAATAATAATAATAATAATAATAATAGAGTGAGACATAAATTCTGGCAGATAACAATGAGTAATAATTTAGCTTTAGATAAACTACAGC